CTCGTGGCCGGCGCTCCCTCCGCCGGGAAAATGAGTGCCCGGCCGACGGCGGAGGCAGGGAGCGAGCGCGCGAGCCTGGCGTCGCGGGCGGGACCCGCTGGGAGGCGGGCTTCGCGGAAGCGGGTTTTGGAGTCCCGGGAGGGAGGGACCCGGGCATCCCTGTGCAGAGTGGACCCTGGGGATGCGGTGAGGGCGAAGGAACATCTCCCAGAGCCCGGCCTTTCTTGCGCCCTTCAAAGCAGAGTTCATGCTGCCAAACTGCCAGTCTTCCGCGACCCTTCTGCGTTCACCGCTCAGGGTCCCTCAAGAGATGGTGTGCGGCAGGGATCCTGCGCCTTCGGGGTCGCTTGGCTTCTGGGAGAAGCCGATGACAGCTCAGGACCGTCCTCCCCGAAAAATACTTACACACGCAGACTTCGTTTTGCAGGCTTTCAGGGCTCTCGAGAACCCGTGCTCCCAGCCGCCGGTGTGACCTCACACATACCTTGCACGGCTTAAGGAAGCTTTCTTTTCCACCTAATTATTAAAGTTTAAGCTACAAGAAACTTATTTGCTACTTTCCCTCAAGGAAATTGTCTTAGGAAACCATTCTATAAACCGAATGCTTGAAAATGTCATAGAAAACTCAGGCCTCGTCCTTTCCCGTGCCGTGGCCTATTCCTTCAGTCTGATCTCTGAAGACCGGACAGGGACCCTAATAACCTCCAACTTTAGGCAGTCGGCCCCGGAAATCTCTGGAAAGGAATTCCGCCTTCCTCAAACCCTTAAAATGCGGAGTCCTGGGCTTATCCCACCTCTGTGCACCTGCATAATTCTCTCTCTGCTTCAACATCTGACCCAGGTGACTGTTAGACCCTGGGCAAATCTGCAGACTTCAAAATTAAGAGCAAATGAAGCAAGTTTGCACATACACACAAAAAATCATTTGGAGGTGATTCCTTACCCCTTTGAAAGATTCTTTATATTGTATCTTTAACTATGACTATTTAAATAGGATATAGGATTTAATGTGCCAACATTCACTGAAAAGCAGTTCTTTGGGAGATGTATCTTATGGGCCATAGGAACCTGAACCAGCCACTCCATCTCCCTGCCTAGGATTCCTCATCTGTAAAATGAAGATGTAACATCAACGACCTCATTGGCTTGTTAAAAGAGGCTTAACGAGTGAGATGTAGAAAGAGCTTAGACCAGTGCCTGGCTTGTACAAAGCACTGATTGTGGGGTAGGTTAAATGAGGTCGAAGCTGGCCTTAGGCAACACTTACCCAACGCCAGACCAGTGCTGGGATCTTTCCCCTTTCCTCCTCTGTCCTCTCCCCATGTGGTGCTTGGGTGAACAGAATCAGAGCTTTTCGGTTCCAGGGTTGGACCGCTTACACCCCATTAAGGGCGGTTTATCTAATCTGGAGAATTCACTGACTAAAACTTTCTCTGCAGAAGCAATGGATATAAAATTTCTGGAAAGCAGGGAAGCCACAGGAGGGCTGACACGTTGGAACTAAGTCTTACAGCCTTTCCCACCCGGTGTCTGGCAACAGCTAACACCCCAGGGAGGGGAGGAGGAGCTGTCCAGAGGCACGAAAGTTGCTGGTTTCAGGGTTGTCAGCTGAGGTGACTCGTGGGGCCTCAGTCCCCTCTGGGACCTTCCTGCTGGTCACCTCACCATCCAGATGAGGACAGGTGTATCCTCTGTCAGCCGAGTTCATGCATAAGACATAATTCATAACCCAGCGCTGTTCACAAGGTCGCATCCACTAGGAATTGACGCTAATTGAAGCTAGTAATTAATATACAATTTTGAGCTGTTTATATTTAATATCATTAAAATGACATCCCCACAGGACATTATGGAGGCATTTTTAAGAAGCCACCAGACACCCTTAATTCAGACTTGTATCCTGTCCTTTGTATGCAGGCTGAGCACGGGCCCATGAACACTCCGCTGCTTTGAAAAATAAAGTTTGCAGCTTGCACACAGAAGGATTTCTTTTCTTTGTCTTGTTTTTTGGGGGGAGGGTGCAGAGGGTTGGGGGAGCAGGTTTATTTATCTGTTTTGATGGAGGTGCAGGGGATTGAACCCAGGACACACAGTACCCCTGGGCTAAATGCCCTCCCCAGCCCCAGAGGATTTCTGACCTCAGAGCTCAGTACTGAAGAGAAGTGGTTGGGGTGGGAATGCTTAGAATGTTTAAATAGGAATGTTTAGATTGGTAAGCAAATAACCCAGGCCAAAGGCGATAAAGCAAAAAAGTAAAAGAGGAATGGAGACCACGATTCAGGTGTGGCTCTCAGGTTCCCTGACACAAGAAGCACACAGCCAGAAGGACCAGGGGCTGGAAGAGAAATTTGTCTTTCTTCATTCTCAGTGCTCTTTCAACAGGGAGGGAGGAGAGAAGGGCTCACAGCCACCGGCCTCAAACCCTGGTTCTTAAGGAAGGGGTTCTGATCGGCCCCTCTTAGGCGAGATGCTCTGAACGAGCATCTCAAGCCAGGGACTGGGCCTCCCTGATACTGGTCTGTTGTTACCAAACGCACATGCAAGCGGTATCCTGGGTTTGGTAAACTGACTACAATGTTTAGCGCCTCTCTGCTAGTGTCAATCTCTGCTTCTGTGACAATCCTGATTTGAGGATTTTCAGCTGTACCTTCTCTTGACTCTGTCTCTGAAGGTTTGAAATCAGTTGATAGAACAGTAGACAGGCATGTAATCGCAGTTTCCACTGTTTGTTCAAATGTCCTATCAAATGTCTTCTTCCCTTTTTTTTTTTCCCCAATGAAGCTGGTTAACTCAGTTTGTTTCACTTCTGCTGTGGCGGTTTGACACCACAGTGGTGACCTGCAGGATTGGTCACTGAGGGCAGCTGGTGGTGTCGTACAAGCCTGCAGGGGCCAGAGGGAAGGACAGGGTTCCCCGGAATCCGGGGCTGCATGTGTCGTCTTGAATTATATTTTTCTCAGACACATGTCCAGGAGTGGGATTGCTGGATCATATGGTAAGTCTATTTTTAGTTTTTTAAGGAACCTCCGTATTATCCTCCACAGTGGTTGCACCAATTTACGTTCCCGCCAACCATGTAGGAGGGCTCCCTTTGCTCCACACCGTCCTCTAGCATTTATCATTTGTGGACTTTTTAATGATGGCCATTCTGACCTGCGTGAGGCGATGTCTCATTGTAGTTTTGATCTGCATTTCTCTGACAGGTAGTGATGCTGAGCACCTTTCCATGTGCCTGTTGGCCATCTGCATTGTCTTCTTTGGAGAGATGTCTTTTTAGGTCTTCTGCCCAGTTTTTGGCTGGGCTGCTTGTTCTTTTGGATATTAAAGTGCATGAGTGGCTTATTTTTGCTACGGCTACCACTGTTGGATCCAAGCCGTGTTCAAAACTTGAATCATTAAAAGTTAAAACTGCTAAGCATGTAGCTCATGGGACTGGCCATCATGTTCTGTTCCTGCTAATGGTTGAAATAAAGAATATTTGCAAACATTACAGGGATACACTTCAGGGTACATCACGAGTCAGTTGTCCAAATAAAGCATCTGAAATAGCAAAACTCCTAAAAAATACGTTTGATTGATGTGATGATAAAGGAAATGAACAATTTTTTATTTCAAACAATTTCATTCAAAAACTTGAACAGAATCTACTGCGTTTACAAGGAACAGGGCTTCTTCAACCACAATGGATTCACTAGAACTTCAGAA